AGACTGCCGCCAAGCAGGACGAGTTCATGTTGTTGGTCGCTAGTCAGGCGTTTCCCGGTAGAGCGTTCGTTCCATGTAGCTGATTTCAACCCCTGACTAGCGACAAACAACAAATCGTCCAGATCAAGCGACCAGTTGGCTCTGCCCGCCAGAATTCAGGCTGGGAAACGGCAAAGGCCCAATTGCTCATAGCTTCAAAACTGCCGCCGAGCAGGACGAGTTCATCATACAAGTATCACAGCAACTGGACGGATATATCCTGCTAGCCCCGCCGGAGCAAGACACTGCCACTGGAGTGCTCAGCCCGCGGTAATGGGTCTGGCACACTACCGAAAAGACTAAGCGAAACTGCGCTCTCAGTGCCGCGGTTCTAAGCCGTTACACAGCTGAACTCGTCTCCTCGGTTTGAAAACCCTCGTGGGTTGGGATGAGAATGACGCAATAGTGCATCATTCTCACCCCTCCCCCTCGGGTTATTTAGTGACTCGTTCCAGTGATCTAACCTACACTTAGACGTTAATAGTAAGAATGTCATCTACCTTATCTCCCGTAAAAAAACGGGGGTTCAGTATGTTGGGAAAACTAGCCAAACACTGCGTAGTAGCCTTAATAATCATCGCAGTAGGGTGAAGCATTTATATTTGTCTTTAACTTTAGCTTCTTCTAAACTCGTGATGAACAGACTGGCAATAGAAAATTCTTTTAAAGTCCTCTTCCATAGTAAAGGCATAGACATGGTTAATCTACCATCATTGTTTCAACAATTCCCCTTTGCATCAACAACACCCCTCCAATTGTTAATTACCAGTATATCAATACAATCTCTAGTAAGGTATTTAACCATAAGACTGTTGTTTCTGAGATCAATTTTTCGGAAGAAACTAACAATCATGTGACTGTCATAGTTCTCCTTATTCATATGTACCTATTGGACATGTTGTTACCGGTAATTTGCGTATCATTACAAAGAAGCATATTCGCAAGCTTTTAGTTAAGGGACCTTCGTATAGGGAGCAATTGGAGTAAGATAGAGGCGATATTAGTGGATGTGGTAAGCAGGTATAAAGTACAATGGGCTAGAAAGGAGCGTTTTGAGGCAAGATTGTTGAATGAATGGGTTACAAAGTAATTGAGTGTATTAGGAATAGAATTGGTGTTTTGAAAAGGAGAAGTGGATGCGTAATAGGCAGGAGCAAGTACTGAGGAATCAAAAGCATTTAGACCAGTTTAGTTTAAACAGCATTATGTTCTTGTCCCTGCAGATAAAGCCTGTAGTAATATTAGTGTAGTATGTAAGAAGTATTATATAATGGTGGTGTTGAATTAGCTTTCGAATGCCGGTCAGCCTTCAACGTATTGCACCGTAACTGTCACGTACAGCTTATTAGAAAGCACGCAATTGATATGGGACTTGACATATCGTCGGATATGGAACAGCTACCATCTATGTATTGGCTGCCAAAATTATGGAAGTGTCCATATGGAAGTAGGGCCTTGAATTAGTGCACTACTAAACCTATGTCCAGTCTGTCGACTAGTTGTCTCACGACTGTTTTAATAGGAGGAAGCATTTAGGGTTAGAGGAGCTCAGTATCTATCGTTTAATAATATGGGGAAGTGTTATTGGAGTGGTGAAAAGAGAGGTGAAGTAAACATATCTGAGTCTATGTTAGTAGAAATGATTCATTATCTAGTTGACAACATATACATTTTAGTAAGTGATAAGATCTTCCGCCAGTGTATAGGTATCCCTATGGGTATGGATTGTGCACCCTTACTGGCTAATCTTTATTTGTTCAAGTTTGAGTATACATTTACGTACGAAGAACCTGCTGAAGACAAATAATTATGTCCAAGGCCAGACTCTTAACACTTTGCGCGCCGCGTAGTATTGCGGAAATTTCTCTGCGTACGTGGAATTATGCATGCGCTGAATATTGCCACGCCCATCTGCGTAATACGTAATTCCGCGCCACTAAAGTGGCGCGTGGCGTTGCGGAGCAATTACGCGCGCCATTTAAGTGGCGCGCAGTGCCCATACTGTTAAGCAACACATTTCGGTACATAGATGATTTACTTACTCTAAACAATCCCTCTTTTGACAATGAGATATATATCCATCTGAATTAAAAAACAATTAAGAACGTTGGCCCAGTTTCCTACCTGGATGTTGGTATAACAGTCAATAATGGACAGTTCGGCACTACAGTATATGATAAAAGGGATAGTTTTAATTTCCCATAAAATATGAGTAGTAATATACGTACCACCAGGGCCTACGTATGGAATATATACCACAACTAGTAAGAATAGGGCAGATCTGTACGAGGAATTTGGCAAGTGCAACATGCTCGTTACTTCTCGACTAATCAAACCAGGGTTTCTCTATGTAAAATTAGTCAGGAGTTTCAAGACATTATATATTAATCTCATGAGCAAATATAACGTCTGTATGGAGAGACATGTGTCTGAGGGCATCTGTGGTTTGTATGATGGGTTTCCTTCAGTTTACAAGCTTGTGACAACTCGACGACGACGTTTATGAACTCTTACGTACCTCTTTTACATCGCCCATTATCATAGTTACTTCCTGTCAGTCCTCTTTATAAGACTCCTCTTTATAAGACACTCCTTTCATTCATTTTATTCATTTTGTGCCGAAGCTGAGTTCATGAGGTGTGTTGCAGTGCTGAATGATTGTATTGCTGCTGTGGGAAGTTCACCGTGAAAAAGGTGTGGGTGAGTGGGGAGAGTTCACCATTGGTAAACGACTCTTTTAACCTACCACCCCTGGTTCTCAAGGCCAGGGCACCCACTATGCCTTGCCTTGCTAGCTGGTTCTCTGGTGATGTTGCCCTACATTGTTTTCCTGGTATCCGTGAGTGCTTCTAATATGTCTATAGATGCTATTTTTGATACTTTTCTTTAGTTTTCATGCTATATACATCCAGACATAATTTGATAACCTTTATATTTCTTAAATATTATTATGTTTATTCACAGTTATTCATCCTTTTGATACTCCATCCATATTCATTTGTTCGCCCTACCACTGTGCGCCAGCTCACGCATGTATAGTTAGTCCTATGTTGTAATGTCTGCGCTTTTGGTCTTTGTTAATGTGCTGCTTTTGACTTATTTAATGTAGGTAGGAGTCCTCCCTTCCCTCTCTCTCTCTCTCTTTCTACTTTCCTCACGTGAAAGCGTGAGCTGTTTAGTTTTCATGCAAACTGGTGCAGTCCAAGTGAAGATTTAGGATAAAATATCTGTGTGTGTTGTGTATGTTTCAGCTTTTTTAAACCTCAGTCAGTGTTGAAAATGACTCACAAGAGTGCAAGATGCGTAATAAACCTTTCCTCTACACACGAAGCCTCTTTCTTCCGGTATCCTGCCCACAACACCAAGTATTCCGCTCGGCCCTGCAGGGCCAAAAATTTATTGCTGCGCAAGTCACTAGGTTTGAACTGACCTTTCCTTGCCGGGAGGACGAGAAGTTGAGCGAGTGAAGTAACCAGCCATTTTTGAAGAGAATGCAAAAAGTGATGCATGTCCATGGTTATGTGAGCTCTTCACAGTCGATAAGCTAACAACAAGCTTCCAACTATTACAGTTCAACAAGATGATCGCTAACATGTCTAGTACCGTGCCACATGAGCAAGAGTGCTCTTTTATGATGAATAGAGCACTGGTGGTGCCTTTGTTCACTTACACAAAATACAATAAGTGCAGATAGAAGTCATTGTATGCTCGCTCCCACTCGCCCTACTACTAATGGCATAACCGCGACAAAAAGCTGAGATCTTGGATCAGTCCTGAACAGAGTATGCTTTGTGGGCATGTGCACAAACTGCATGTGTGCATGATAATTATTATTTACTTTCCATTGAGACCATTAAAGGGGTTTATCAAAGGTGAGTGTGATGAGTAGAGCAATATTTCAGGTAGTATGCAGATAGGTTGCTGGAGTAATGTCTGGTGATGTGTGCGTAGTATTCAGCAACACTTGCGCCACATACAACAATGTGTCTCAGCACATATTCCCCCCAACCGCCTCACCAAAAAGGTCAATTAGGCTGAAAGTGTTTAAGTCACTGAGAGTGACATAAAGCCATACACAGTGTATTGCTCCAGACACTTAATGGAAGGGAATCTCTTCAAGTGACCCTGGGGAAAGGGATTGCTTCTCCAGTAAAAAAGGCAGGACCTCAAGGAGCCGAGAAGAGACTCGTAGTCAGTCCTTGCTCCTCCCCATCCACTTCTAGCAGTATATAGTGCTGCTACACAATCAATGGGGTGCCATTAACTACACACCTACACACTTCATGATGTCAGTGATGCCTATGACTCAGAGTATGGACTCATCTATTTTCTGAGTCCATCATCTAATGACTTGGTTAATACAGCAAGAAGCAGAAGCAGGGAAAGAAGGCAGCCAGGGACTCTAATCAGCCGATTTTAGGATTGATCAGCTTCAATGCCTGATATGGTTTAAGACAGGGTTCGTTTACTATCAAATGTTACTTGAGTTCTTGGTCTGACAGTTAATGAGCTCCATTACTCGAAAATGCCAAGACGGAGCCCCAGAAATAGGCCAAGGCTGCCTGACACTAAGATCTGCAGGCAGGACAAAGATTACCTGCTGGCAGTTCAGGAGTTGTGCAGGCTAAGAAAGGACCTCCTTTGAACGACAGGATCAAACTAAAGTGTAATTAAGACTCTAGGCATAGAATATTCACAATATCTAGCAGTACTTCAGCTACAGTCATAAAAGGAGAGCTTTAAGGGCTGGGGTATTAGTATGTGTTTAGTTGTAGTCTCCCGCCAGTAGATCGCGGTGAGTCTGCCACGGGCCTGCTAAACTAGTATATAGCATGTGGGAGTTGATATATGCCCTTTGTTGTGAACGTAGTGGCAGAAACATGGTAACAGACAAAACAGATAGACAGAATGAATTACAAACCACTGACTATTGTAATTCTCAAATATTTGTAGATAAATACCTGTGTTGGTTGGCTCTATGTGAACGTCCTAGTTGCTGTACAGCTTTGTCAGCACTCCAGGGGAGCTCCATGGTAATGTGAAGCCTACGTCTTCTATTCTTTGCACCGAGGTCAGAGTGTAGTGATATACCTGTAGATTAAAAAAACACAGTAAATGCTGACCAGTCGACAAATTTTCAAAAGCAACTAGTTTCTGCCTTCCTAAATACTGAATAACACAGTACAAAGATACTAATTTGAACACCTTTAGAAGTGGGTAATTGTGTGCAAGGGGCAGTAAAAATGTCTAAATCCTAATCATTCAGCTTGAGTGATTGATTACATGATCTTATCCATAAATCAGACCATAGCAAGGTCTGAGTAACTACACAGGCCAAAAAAAATTGACTGGGGGGACAACCTTATTATTTTACATGTGCACACACAATACAACTGAAGTGGGCAGTCAGTTTCATAATATTGTTATCACGCCTTATATAATGAAAAGCACTGAAGTGCAAACCCTCGGCGCATTACGCATGCATGGCACCGCTAATTGACGGTTTGGGCTATGAGCATGTGTGTACTCATGGTCTCCATGCCAGTTGGTTGCGGCACGGGCTAGTTAAACTAGCATGCCGATGAGGGAGTCGATACATGGTCTTCGTGGAGACTTCTTGTGTTTCTGCAAGGTACAAAAGTGGATTAGGCGTAAGCTGGTGCGATTATGCATATTGGCTTTTTCGCTTGTCTTCACGGCATATCTCTTGAACGCAGTCATTTCAGGAAAATCACCCTTTTATTTTCAGGTTCGCGTAGTTCTGAAGACGTTGGTATCGCTCATGGGCCGCCTCGTAGCCTGGAGGGACAACCTATTTTATATTTGTTTATTGTGCACCACCTGTACACCAAGATGGTGCACACACATTTACAGATCACGTGAAGAAAACATTCTATTTCTGTGAGAACACAACACACCACTTGTACTTGCACAGTAGGGAGCATATTATCAAATACATACCTGTACTGGCTGCATCAGATATGATGGCAATAAGTTTCTTTCCATCCATGAATGAAGAACGCTGACAAGAAGGACAAATTAAATAATAAACTAAACTCTAAATGTGTTGTTGAACCAACTCAAAGAGGCCTATAAAACCCAGACTAAACTAATGGTAAATCCATCAACCTCATTGTTGTTGAGACTCTCGAGTGTACAGATTCCCTTGTCCCTCAGCTCATAGTGAACACGATCTCCATTTCCTTTAGCTCGCACTAGCCTCCCTTTCCTTCCTGTCATCTCTGCCACATTACCTGGCCCACCCAGCTGGTCAATCAGCTCATCTAGAGGGCTGATGACACAATTATGGACACTGTCACAGTATAGAGTGTGTAGAAGACTTCCTACCTGTTGGGAAGATCAATCTTAGCAATGCACTCCAGCAACATGTCTTTGGCATCCACACACCACAAATCTTGTATAGCCACCTGCCAATACAGTGAAAATTTATAACCAGAGTGAGTTAGAAGAACTTGTACACCCTGCGTGAGCGAACATGCACACTTTGTAGTGAATTACCACAGGTGTCTGGTGCATACAAGCGCTTTAGAGCGCGAGGGAAAGCGCAAACGGAACTGTGAGGCTCTGCGCTACGCAGCGGTACAATACTTGCCGGCTTCGGTTCGTGTATTTCTTACTTGATTAGAAAGAGCTGTGTCATCAAGGTAGAGTGACGAGTTGAACGAGTTGTGGCACTTATAAAAAAGGAGTGCTCTGCCGTATTTGTTAACCACTGCCTGTGCATTTTCCTCCAAGTCAAGCAACCTTTCGCTAGCAACTTTTGGCAGTACAGCACCGAGTTTACAGCCTGGTGTAATGTGAATGGTAGGTATTGTTATGTCTTATATGAATAATCTGTTCCACTACCTTCAAGCATCCGTGTGCACTGTTACCAGTAAAGGTGCCACCATAATATGCCTCTCTGTGCATGTGCATTTCCCCTAGTTCCTGTTTCAGGGAACGGATGAAGGCACCATTGTTGCAGCTGGCTGACTTCCTTGATCTCTCTCCTGTGGACACGAAAAACATCTTCCTTTGCCTTACACTACCCATTACCCATCGAACATATTCTCACAATTTCATCCAATTTCCTAGCCGATGACAGTGCCTCTTCCTTGAGCATCTGCACTAGAGGGTGTGACTCGGCATTTGGGATCTGGATTGCAAGGTCTGCAAGTCAAGAATTGAGAGCTGACATCAGCTCCAGCAGCATTGTCTTCTTCTCACTGTGCTCAGCAAGCTGTGTCACTAGAGCTGGTGCTGGAAAGACTTCTGGTCAGTGGGTCTAGGAGAAGTGCGAGTAGCCAGTTCGAGATCCAACTCATGGCAAGCTGTCACAACTCTCAAGCAGGGTCCACAACCGGCAGAATATACCCAGCGTTATGTGAAGCCCTGGCGGACAAGTATTTTAAGTGTGCTATGTG